GTTGGAGGCCATTGCCATTAGGTTGGAGGCCATTGCCATTAGGTTGGGTTGGAGGCCATTGCCATTAGGTTGGAGGCCATTGCTATTTGGTTGCAGGCCATTGCTATTAGGTTGGAGGCCATTGCCATTAGGTTGGAGGATGTTGGAGGCTATTGTTTTTAGGTTGGAGGCCATTGCTAGATATTGCTAGTAGGTTGGAGGCCTTTGCCATTAGGTTGGAGGCCATTGCCATTAGGTTGGAGGCCATTGCTATTAGGTTGCAGGCCATTGCTTGTAGGTTGGAGGCCATTGCCATAGGTTGGAGGATGTTGGAGGCCATTGCTAGTAGGTTGGAGGCCATTGCTATTACAGTAGGTTGGAGGCCGTTGCTGGAGGTCCAAGCTAATTATATGTTTTTTTGCTTGATCGCCTCCACCGTTATGGAGCATGCACTGCATCCGAGGCATGGACCCCATGTCCGATGTAGTCCACTGCTTTGGCACCGAGCCGGCCATCCATGCCCTGGCAGCGGCAGCCGACCCACGCGGCAGCCGACCCACCCATGGCGAGAAGCAAGTTCTGCGAAACGATACAGAGTGCGAGTTCTGCTTTTCTTGAGAGCCTAGTGTGGCACTGTGCGAGTTCTGTATTTCAGACATGGTCTGTAAACTCTGAAACAATCATGTCAGGACATTAGGGAACTGAAGGCTACCGACAACCGAAGGCCTCCTTTTTTCCGTAATGGCTCAACAAACAACGATTCTGTCTGGCATGCAAACTTCATCATTTGCCCTCTTTCCACGTTTTGAGTGCAAGGGCTATATATTAATGTAACTACGAGTCCACACTTGACCAAAACCAAGCATCTTGGTGGTCACCTAGCAAAGCCATCTTCAATCATCTGACTTCAAGGATGTTGGTGTCCCGTGGCTCTGATCTCCGGTGCTTCAGTGCTTCACTGTGCCGCATCGATCCGGTGAGCGCCGGATCGAGCGACGCTAGAACCGAAGACCATCCTCCCCGACCGTATCGATCCGGTCATCTCCTTCAATCCTAGACCCTTCATCATCCTTCCTCTCCCGCACACAACAAATACGGCCTTGCAGCATTTTGCAGCTCTCTTTATCATCTCTCTGTCTCTCTCTCTCTCTCTATCTCTCTCTCTCTTCGTTCACCACGCACCAGAACGGCGGGTCGCAGCGTCTGCCCTTCTCCCTTCCCTCCCTTCCTCCCTCGCCATGTACCGAACCGCCCTGCTGCCCCGCTGCCGTCGGTCTTCCCTCGGTGTGGACCACTTGCCGCTCGCGGTCGCGCCTGTCGCGCCAGGTGCTGCTCCGTGGGTGGCACCAGCTCGGAGGGTGTGGAGAAGCTCCTGGGTGGGTTTTCGCAGGGGCCCCTGGGAGCGGAGGTGGTGTTACCGGGTTTATATCATGTGAAACACAGGTTCCAGGAGTTCCCCACCTCTTCATAATCCTCCAGGTGTGGCGGTTTGATGTTTGTAGGGAACATGACGAAAGAGTCTTGCTCTTTTATCAAGAGGACCCTTGCTTGGGTTTTGAACCCCCCCTCAAGGGTCGTGAATAGAATCTCAAACCCCTTACGTCATGGGGAATATGCGCTTGTGCGGCCCAAATGATGCAAGTCGAGACATATATGTTAATGACTATAATTAGTTGTTTCAGGGTGCAGAATAGTGACCGTACACAACAAACAATGACACAAATTATGAATAGGCGCTTAAAGTCTATTGGACACAGGTTCGGCTGCATCAAGAGGCTGGACCCCTGAACTTCAAGAGGCTGGAACCTGATGGCCTTCTGTGCATTTTCCAGCTATTGCCCATAGCACAAACCTTCTGACTGCCCCCCCTCTCATGCAGAGCTTCCCCGACCCAGCAGGCAGGATGTCTACTGGTCATGTGGTCTGGTAAACTGCAGGACCATTTTGGTCAATTAGACCTTTGAATCTTTGCTTAACATTCTTAACTCATTCATGTCATGAACACTCCGATGGCAAAGAGGTCCCTGTGCCTCCTCCGATTTTCCTAAGCCAACGTCAAATGGAACCAGCATCGTTCCATGCTTGCAGTGAGCACACGAGCAACGAGTTCCACTCAATCGCTTTTAGTTCCGAGAAAAAACAACTCACGCTGACTCGCATGACCAAATGAATTTAAACTCTGAGATTTACATGTGACTTCTTGCTATATCTCAGCCAGGAACCACAAGGACGCCTTCGCCTTCATGAGTGTTTTTTTGAGGACAGGGCTCAAAGCATCACAGCAAGAGATGGAGATCTCAGATCTCGTGATGCCAATGGATCCTGGACCAAACTCCTGTTTGATCCTGGACCGCCCTGGACTCAAAGAACCACGGGTCCAAAAAAGGGTAGCACAAAAAGCGTCCATCTGCCACCCGTGCCATCTGCTAGTGTTCACCAGCGTCCTCTGCTCTTTCATCTGCTATAGCTGCTAGATCTATAGAAGCTAGCTACATCATGGTGCAAAGCAAGCATTGTAAGCTGTGTTCCGACCACTTGTATACCGTGGAAAGGAGATCTATCTGCTGAGGCGAAGAAAACGCGCCCTCCCTTCACAAAAACATAAGCACCCACAACCGCCGGCGTCATCATGTCTCTGTACTTTTAATGAAACCCAGCAATCAGCTTCTAGGTTGGAGGCTATTGCTAGTAAGTTGGAGGCCATCGCTTCTAGGTTGGAGTCAGCCCAGTCGTCACTCGAGGCCTTTCGCGAAGCTCCTCGAGGCCTTGGGGCTCTCCAGTGCCGGGCATAAGAATCCGTCCGCATCCATCGTTGCCTCAGTGAAGCCCACTGAGCCCACGGGTCCGAAAAAGAAACCGAAGGGCTTCCACTCAAAGAGGCGTAGGGGCGGCTGACTTCGCCACAGTGGTTGATTCCCCATGACTCCCCCAATTCCCAGCGCATCAAAATGACCATCAACCTCCTCCCCAGTCATGTCGTCCTTGTCAGGTCGTCAAATCATTAGGCCTTGCTGGATCACAACCTGTGTTCCTTCAACGGTTTACCAAAAATCAACGCTTGAGACGACACGGCCGAACCGCACCGAACCAGTTCCCCGAGCCGAAAGGACGCGGTTCTTTTGGGAATGGAAACGAGCGCCCGAATGGGTCTCCACCTGTTGGAGAATGCTGGTATACCCGAAATCCCACTATCGAGGTGCAGCGTTGCCCACCATGTGCAAGCCATAGAGGAAATGGTTGTCCCTCAAGCCCTCTGCGATGATCTGTCGGCGCCAAGAGGTGCGAGGAAACTCATGTGCGAACGTGAGATGCCAAGAAACAAGATCAACCATATTCAGCAATGAGAGGGTTGAGAAGGTGTTGAGGACATCTTTGATATGCTGCATATACACATTATATACACTATAGGCATCTATAGACACAGTAATCCAATCCGGAACTCATCAATCACAAACTCAAAAGACTCTCAATCAAGTCGCACAAACAAACAATGACTGATTTGCTCTTCTCTGCTCGGCCTCACAGCTGGTCGGGCCCAAGTTATTGTAACTCAGATCCAAATGATAAAGCGTGACCTGAGCGGATCCCGCGCGAGCCGGAGGTGCCGAGATGGGCGGTGTGAGATGGGCTGAAACAGACCTGGGTGTGTCTTATTTTATAGGGGGACCCCCAACCAAATGGGTCTTTGTGGTCTATGTTGTCCTTCTTCCAGGCGTTCGTTGCCTGGGAGGTCGCCTAGCGCTGACCCAATTCTTTGGGTGTTCTGTCTCTCGTGAAACATTTGGGTGAAGTAGGACATAGCACCCAGGGGTTAGCAGGACATTGCACACTGCTTTCTGTCGCATGTGTAGCGTGTCTGGGAAACCTGTAGTCTGTTGGAAACCTGTCCCTCCAGCCAGGTGACCCTGAGACATGCGGCTTCCGCAGCTGGAAGAGACATGGACCTTGATGGACATTCTTGTGGGTGTCTTTGTATTGTAAAACTGCCGCTGGTGTGGTGTTTTCACCACTCGGATCCACTCGGTACACTAACACATACCCATCAATCAACAAAGCGAGACCTTTATATATCAATTATTGAATTGAGGGTTTGTCAGAGTACTGTCCCACATCCACAAACAACCGTTTGAAATAATGACATCCTTCCACAAAGGCAACATTGAAGGATGTCATCTAGACATCTCTGAAAGCCTCTTGAGCCATACATTCATTCCATTGGGATGCTGGGGTCACACAATTGCCAAGCAACCTTTTGACTTTTGTTCTATACCACTTCTTCTCAAAGGCCGGCACTCGTGGACTTGCGCCAACCGTTCTTCGTCTCACCAACGAACTCGTTCCTCGCCGCTGGACCTGTCGCCTCCGTCCTGCCCAGGTCCCTTGTTGTCCCCGTCACTGAAATGCGCAACACCTCTGCCAGCGCCAGCGCGGCGGCCGCGGACGGAGCAGACACGCTGGGAGAAGCATCCAAGTGGTTCCAGGCGACGTCCAAATCTGAGAGCTGGCCATCTTGGCCTTGGCGTCGCGAAATGCAGAACTGAGAGTTCACCAAAGCCACTGGTTCACTGGATAGCACAATCCCACCAGTTCCTCTTAAGATCTTTTTATTCCAACCTGAGATGGGGCTTTGGGGTGTGGGATGTCTTTCAATCAAGAGCGGTCGCAGCATCACTAGGAGCTTGGGTATATCCCATTCCCAGGGCCCAGAGAACCAGTGATTCGTGTCTGAAGCAAAGACCCTGGAGACTCAGCTGTCGGAAAGCGGGAACAACAACAACAACGACGACAACGACAACGACGACAACAACAAACACACAAAAAGACATGAATCATGGAAGTGAAACATGGCCCCTTGGAAAACCATGAACGCCCTCTGCTGTTTGTCAACGTTTTCTATTTCAAGGAGTGTGGCCCAAACATCGACGAGCCGCGTGCATTGGTCGCCAGCCCCTCGAAGAGCTGAGCGCCGCCGAGGGAGTTCAGCGCGTTGCCGTGGAGTGACAAGCGCATCAAACGCGGATGGCTGGCCACCAGGTCTCCCAAGGCTTGGCCTGTTTTTGTGAAACGGTCAGTTGATGTTTTCTCGGATGGTGAAGGACTGGCCGTCCCTCAGATCAAGCTTTGTTTTATCAAGAAGATGTGGATCATGTGGGAGAAGAAGTCCGAGAACCAATCTTGAGGAGTCAAAGCACATCGGCGATCATTTAGGTGAGATATGATACAAACTTAATACACAAAGTAATCTTGAAGATAGCCTTCAGAGTACAGCAAGCATGTTCTGGGTCTGTGCACATAAAACCAGTCTCCCAATGATCTAGTAGCTGAGGGCGTATCCCTTTACTGCAAAACATATGTCTATACACCCTAGGGCTCCAACTACCTCCGTTTCGAAGGTGGTTGGGGTGGGTGCCCGGGGGGTCTAACCACCTTCTTAGGATATGGGCCAGGAGCCACGGATCGCTGGACCGACCCGCAGTGGGCCGTGGCCATCCAGTCCCAAGTGGTGTGTGAACGGCTGCTCTGCCTAGGCCTAGAATCAAGGCCTAGGCAAAGGGCCTAGATTTGAACGGTCTCCATCCTGCACGAGTACATGTCAACAAAATTCAACAAATGTAATACAGTATACCCATGTACAGCGCGATCATGTAATACCCAATCCATCCCAATCCTTTACTCCGCGAAAAACCCACATGGACCCTGAAAACCACTGGTTTATAGAGGAAAACAGCCTTTCCGGGTCCCATCCGACCCGGATCCATGGATCCGTTTTCGGGAGCGTACAGATCGTACCAATAAACACAGTGAGTGCTCACGCCTTCAGACCCGGCGGACAGTCGTTCCATCCCAAAAGACGGCGGCGGACCACGTGTCGTTCCTCCGGCCTTCCTCGAGGAAGTTGTGATTTAACTCCTTAGCTGCAGCTGTGGTCAAAACGGTCAGTCAAAGCCCAGTGGATGACTTTGTTGATATATTATATATTATATATATTGTGTTTGTGTTTTTAATATCAAGTTTGTTTCTGGTGTGTGTATGTGTGTTTCAATACTTTTATTTATGGGCGACTGAATAGAGAACATCTTCCCAATAAACACCGTGTCTTGGGCGGCAAGGAACCACCGTTTGGGAAGTACAGGTTTGCCACTAAACTGTTTGTCATGTTGTTTTACGCCTACAAAACGAAATTGGATAGACCCCCGACTGTATATAAGGCTGCAAGTTTCGGGATCAAACAATCACCGTTCTTTGCATCACCGACGTGCGGACTGACCTTTGAGTCACCTATTGTTTCTTTACACAACAAATCCAGACTGTTTGGGGTGATCAAACTTCAGCCAAGCCTTCCATCATTCGACTACTTTCGACTTCCATCCCTTGCCTTGCCTCAAAGGCACGTCCTTGCACCTGAACACCGTCCTTCTACCTGAAAACCACCCAAAAGAGAGAGAGTTGCTTCTCTCATCTAGCGGCCAAGCGGATGAGCAAAGGACAACACAGCAAACCAAAGGCCAAGGGCTGGATGGCGGCGTCACGCAGGTTGTTCCTCAGTGAGCGGACCGTTGAAGCGTCCAGCAGGGCCCGGTGAAGTCCGTTTTGCGGCAAATTGAACGGGTGGAGGTGGAGAATCTGAAATGAGTACAGTACCCGTATACACTGGTTCATATAGGACTCCCCCTGATCTCGAGATGATCACCCTCCTGCTGTGGCTCTTGATACTTTGCCACACAATCGACAAAGAAACACATTCAAATTGGGATCCTTGAGCCTTCAACGGGATCATATCCAAGGATCATTTTTTGTTCCCAACTAGCTCTCTGAAGGCTTCCCCAGAAGTTGCTCCGACAAAAGGGACCTCCCAACAAACAATGCTCTCGGTATTCATTTCACAAGCTACCCCGCTACCCCAAAGGGAACTCGGGTCAACCAAAGGGAATTCGGGTTTGCACATTCGCGGACCTGTGAAATCGCCATCCACCTCCCCTATATACCTACCAACTGCCTCTGTCCACCATTTATCTACACTCCCTGGAATCATCATGGAAGTGGAAAATGGCCCGCCTGGGAAGAGCGTTTTCCTCTACAATCAGGTGGTTTCCACTTATATGATTGAGGATACAGTACATACCATCTGTCTAGCAGAAGGTTTAGCGATGGTATAGTTTTCTGGGTCGTGCACCATGCGCACCCATCTGGCTTGGAAAAACCGAGGCTCATGGACAAATCCAACCAACGGAGTTGAGGCAAAAGCCTGAACCCAGCTACGAGATCAGGCCGAAAAAACAAATCCAATGTCCGGGATCCGAGCTGAATGAACACAGAGTGGTTACAAATGGTTACAGCTAGTACAAAGGAACTGAACTCTTTTGACAACACAAATATGATTCATACAGGGTGGTCCTATACAGGAAGTTCGGAAACATACAATTGATAATTTTCCACAGTGCATGCAATTAGAGGAGTTCTTAGATATTGACATAATAAGAAATTGTGTATCTCAAGGCCAACAGCACTCAGAATCTCTATTGCATCCGAAGTTCTGCACATCATATCCTGAAAAAGAACTTAAAAGCAATGAACAGATACCAAACTATAGATCTTAATTAACAAACACACACACACACACTCCACCCAGCCAGCACATTATGTTATATAATTCACCAACCCAGGGGTCCAACCACCCGCCCACTCTGAAACACCACCCGCCTGCGCTGCATGCGTTGGCTGAATGCCACACTGCCCCGCAAAGCGGTCTCATTGTGAGTCAAATCCACGATCTCCGTCTGCGCGGGCAACTTGGACACCAAGGCCTCACGGAGATGTCCGTCTGCTAGAGCACTCGAAGAGCGGAGGGGCTGTGGGATACGGGTGTTCAGAGATGTTCGGTCCTTGATGTACCTTGTCTGAAACAATATGAGTTCGTGCCTTAAAGTTCGGTCATGTTGCCCATTGGACTTTTGCGAGTAAAGATATGTTCTGTGTTTCAGCATGCAAGGACATGCAGGCATCAACATCAAGTAACATCAACCATATAGCTCTCCCTGATCACAACGGACTAACATCGCTAAAAAGAAAAACAAACACCGTGCCAGTCTGTCTGAAACAGTGACCAATCCAACCAAGGCTCGATCGAACTGATCAAACCGATCAAACCGATCATCGGTCCCGACTGTCGTCCAGCGGCGCGCCTCCACCCCTTCGCCGGTGAGGCGCGCATCGCGCACGCGGAAGCGCGTGACGTTGGCCAAGGGCAGCAACTGCCGATCACCCAGCCTCGGAGGAAGGGGCCACCGGGCCAGCTAGGGTGGTGCGCAAATGGCTGACCCAAAGAATAAATATTGTAAAGATGGAAGCGGAGGTAGCTGGAGCTGTAAGATGAAGATCGATGAAGCTACTGTTGAATGGATCAATGGATCCTCTTTGGGGGTTCCGTTTTTTTGCCTGTCATATACTGCCATAAGTCCTATGGATATATATATATATAGTGTACTTCTTGGTGAAAGGTCTGTATACACAATGTTCGAGTCCAAGCGGAGTACAGTCCCGTGGTCCATATCTAAACTCAAATGATCTTAGTCTTCATTTGCTGGGTCATCTCACCTTGCCTGCATAGCCTCTGCGAACATGTTGAGACCACCGAGAATTCACAGTCCGCAAACTTTCTCCCTTTCAATCAGTCATCACATGATAGGAGTCCACCAAGGATACAGTATGACTTCACCCGATCAGGAATTACGACCATCCGCGACCTCTTGACACTTCTTGCATCGGATCTTTGCTACTATCACTCTTTTGAAGAGTACCCCTGCCTGGTGGATGATGTTTGCTTCTGCACTAAGCAAAATCGCCCATCATATAAATATATAATTGCAAGGTGTATATCTATTGGTCTGGTACTATCAGTTTTCTTGACTTGGAAGCTTCTCATCTACACATCCTTCACGGCAATTGTCGGCAACCCCAGAGCCCTATCTTTGGGCATTTTGAAGTTCGTGTTTCTTTCTATAACTCTCCGACCAACAAGTAAGTACTGGCTCCAAACATGTGCATACTGTGATTTGCTGCTTCAATGAAGTGCGAGGAGCATTGCTTGAAGTTGCGCATCTCCAAAGCCCAAACCGCTGAGTTCCAACGTGTCTTTACATCTTCTCTCCTGCAGAATTGAGTTCCAATACTCTCACATGGACACACCACCTGGCCCAAAACAAGAAACGATCTTCAGGTGACCCATAAAGGAATTTCCTTTGCTTCCGTGATCCTCAAAGTCTTCTTGCAGTTTGCGTTCCTCTCTCTACATAACGGGTTTAACGAGTCTTGGGGCTAGCGGGGTGATTCAATAAACCTTCTCATGGGCATCTTTCTACCAAGGACAAAGCTATCTCTTCGATTGTAAAAAGAAGAAACGGCCGAAGACTTCTGGTTTCATGGGTGAGAATGATGACCAAAGGGATCCCATATGAAGTTTGGTCCTACAAAGCATGTCAAGATCAAATAACACTATTATATTATATATATATATATTCAATCAGTATACAGTCAAATATAAGCAAAAATATTGTAATGTATTGTGTATATATATATACATTCAATAGCAAATATATATATATATTCATGTATCTTGTGTAAACGGTCACCAATCTTTCTGTGAGCAATACACTTCACCAAAATTGATCATGCCCTTGTTTGTCTAGTCACTAGTCTTGCCTCTCACGAAACCTGCGCGACTCCACACTGCGCTCGGCGGTCAGTAACATCAAAACACATCAGATCTTCATCTTCCAAGATCTTCCAAGGCTTACCAATACAGGATCTATACCCTGAGTGTCCAGGGGCATACTTTGTTTAGTCTTCAGAGTGAGAGCGAACTTAGCCGTTACGGGCTAAACTTTGGACGCACCTCAGGATGGGCCAATGGGCCTTGAGGGCTCAAGTCAAACCCGTTGACCATGCCAATCCAAACGTTTCATAATCGACCAATCCAGATTCCATACAATCATAAGCTGTGGAACGCATTATTAAAACTATGTGTTCGACTGATGCTTGCGACGTGATGTGCCATGCGTCTTCCTTCCCTTCGACCGCCTTTGAGTTTGACTGGAATCTTGGAAGCAACCACTCCACAAGCTTGATACATCATGTCTCGACTTATCGGGCGTGGAACCCCCTGAGGATTTGTGGTTATTTTGCTTGCACTCGACATCATGAGTGCTTTTGGTGTGGCGCCTGGAAATGGAATGGATGTTGTTCTTTCAAGGACCCCAAAAGTGAAAGGAAACCAGTTTTGGCTTCTTTGAGGCCATCGAGATGAAGACTATATGATGGAATCCGATGACGAACCTCCTGGATGCTACAGTGCCCCACCCCTTTGTGTGTGTTACATTGACTGCGTCTACAGGGTATTGCCCAATCAATCCAAAGGACATATATTATAGATGGATACTAGATCCTACATTGATTGAGCCATACCCTCCCACTTGTTTGCTTCAAACTCGGCAACGCTGAACTAACGACTGACTTTGTTGTGAGGGGTTGATCGATCAGTTTGATTTTGAAAAGAAGCTTTGCAATACCACACACAATTGCACTGCACTGTGTGCACTTTGGCTGCTCTTGTTTCAACTTCAGCAGTAGCAGTGGTGGTTTCAACAAGCAAAACAAGCAAAGATGTAGATCTATCGATCTAGATCAATGTTCTTGGCACTCGGTCCGCTTCGTGCTCATTCGTTTTTCCTGCGCACAATGCCGTACAGTCGGCGCCAGAGTAGATTGTCCTCTGACAGGGTGGACTTGATCAAGGACAGGATGTTGGGCAGTGGCTGTTTAGGCATTCGACAATCCTAGAAGTTTCGTTTATGGGTCATGCCTTCTCTCAATGGTGCACTACCGATGGTGATCGTTTTGGTACTGAAACAAATCATGGAATTGGTCCATCCTGAGGTGCGTCCAAACTTTAGCCTGCAACGGCTAAGTCCGCTCTGCTCTCACTCTGAAGACTAATTTATAAATGAAGTATGCCCCGGGACACTCGGGAATGGGGTACCCACCCTGGCTTCTGGAGCAGGAGTTCTACATTGAACTATGTGAGCCCGATGAACTACTGGTAATCAAGCGAGAACTGAAGCAAAGAAAGGCTGGCAAGGTGCATCAACTGTTATACTAGTCGATTAGTTCATCAAAATCACAGACCTTCCTTCGCAAAATGCTGGTCTGTCAGGCATTTAGCTTCGTGGACCTACCTGGTGTGCAAAGCAAGCTCACTGAGTCCAAGGCTGGTTGGTAAGTGAATCAAGTCGAAACGGACTGGAGAAATCATTCTCTCAGGTAAAGCGGCCCAGGAACTTTGCCTTTCTGAAAGGCTTTCTTTCTTCTTTTGGTTGGGACCTTCCGACAAGGCTTGAACTCCAGGAGTCACATGTGTTGTATTTTTTTGGTTGTCGCTTAATTCAATGATCTCCGTCTTGTGTAGATTCCGCTATACTTGTCTTGCAAGTCACGAGCTTGATCGAACCACCACAGGAATCACTACAATGGATTTCGATGAACAAGGACATCAATGAGCACTTTGTATCACCAGACCAGCATCAGGCAATCCTTTTTTTGAGGTGATCGACTGCCAGTCTCTTCAAAAACAACAATCCTTTCCCGATGCTGACTCCTGTCCTCTTATTCAGCCAGGCATGGGCGACCAACGAAGCCAAGCTGGTTCGGCAGCTGTCGAGCTATGTCTGCAACCTGCGGCAGCGAACCCGCAAGACCAGGTGGCTTTCGGATTGCACAGTTTGATTGAAATCACCATGTGGGTCATGTTTTTCCATTGCTAAAAAAATATAAACGTCCAGGAAAGGCAACAGGGAAATGGAGATTCTCAAAGCGATTCTTGGGAAAAGGTTAGAGGACTGGAGTGTGCAAAATTTAGATCTAATGCATGCATGCACCCTTCACTTCAATTTGTGTAGTGTAGCAGGAGCGTGGCGCTTTGCTGTCCAATGGAAGAAAAGTTCCCACAAAAGGACGATCTACGTTTCAGGCATAACAGTTCTTGCACTGATCAATGCATGCTTCATACGTGCATGTGTACTACACAAATTGTGAAGATTGTATTATATTCGAATCAAGTGTGCATGTGTACGTGTTCAACTTTGGTTCAACCGGTATAATTGTCTATTTCAACTTGGTCATGTAAAAGGTCAAAAAGACAATTTGCAAAGCAAAGGCAGGTAAGCTAAAGAAGAGCAGCCCAAAGAAACCGAAGGCAATGGCACCACCAGCCCACCAGGCTTCTAAGCAGACCCCCAATCCGGACATGGTAGAGACCCAGTTGGAGTTCGAGTCCCAGATCCCCGCAGATTGGGAAGCTCCCAGCGGTGAACGCGAGGTGCAGGAACAGAGTTTGGCCAAGGTGGGGCGTGTCGACCAGGGGAAAAGTCAGGAGGAGGGCGCGGAGGAGGAAGAGCGCACAGATGATGAATGCGTTTCCCCTGCCCCGTATGATAGTGACCCACGTGTGGCTAGGTTGCCTCATGAACCCACGTTGAAGCGCGGATTGGCAAGTGAACAGCTGCCAGGATCGACAGGTTCCTTGGAGCTAAGTGGACCTCCAGCAAAATCCCCCAAACTTGGCAGTGCGAGCAGCACAAAACCCGAAGATGACCCGAACGCCAAAGCTCCCAAACCTGCCGAACCCCGAGCAGCCCCGGAGGCTCCGGCCCCCACACCCGCCGAACCACTGGCACCAGCAGCCCCGCAGGCCCAGGCCCCCACACCCGTTGAACTACCGGCACCGGCCGCCCCAGCCGGGGAACCACCGGCACCAGCCATCACGCAGGCCCAGGCCTCCAAACCCGTTGATTCACCGGCACCTGGAGATGCCTCGGAGGCTGTTGCTCCCAAACCCAATGAACCACCACCCCCGCCCAATTCGCCTGCTGTAAAACCTGAAGTCATTCCAAGTGATGAAGAAGGAAATGAGGCAAAGGGAGCACACCAGGACAGTGATTTTGAGCGCTCTTTGATTGTGCCTTGTTATTTTCCAGTGTGTTGGTGACAAAAATAAGATCATATCATGATTCTGGTGCTGTTATCCCGGCCTACAGTTAAACATTACCAGCCTATCATTGTTGCAGGACCGGAAACCATTGGCTCCATTGCAGGACCCCCCACGTGATGATATCAGGACTATGCTTGAGGAAGTCATCCAAGATACATGCAGGGCTGTTGATGGAGAAGAACCTGAAAAAAACTTGCTTGAGGCCTCATCAACATGTTCTGTTCAATCAACATTGCCCGGCCAGTATCACTAGCATCTTATATGCGCACATATGCACGCAACAAAACAACTTTTGACCGGGCAGGCCCAAAGAAAGCTTCGAGAGGCAATGCGGTTGAAATTTGGGAAACCTGGTGGTGATGATGAATTGGAGGACCCAGATCGTACTTACAAAGATGACGAGGAGGTTGAGCCAGCAGCAAAGAGAACAGGTAGGGGGAGAGGAAGGGGCAAAGGTCCCAAGGGTAGGGGCCGAGGCAGGAGTCGTGGTAATTCCGTCAAGCAAAGTGATGAAAATAAGGATGCAAAGGCCGAGAGTAGGATCGCAAGTGATGAAGACTTGGAGAAAATGAGGAAAGGGGCTGAGGAGAGGGTCCGCCAGGATATGCTCGCAAGAGCCCTCGAAAAGCACCAAGGTGGTGGAGAAAATGAAGTTGAGGGAGGTGATGGTGCCAAAACCGGAGAAGAGACAAAGACACCCAAGAAACGAAGGGCAACTGCAAAGAAGAAGTCAAAGAAGACACCAAAGACTAAGAAAAAGGCAACTCCCAAAAAGAAGACTCCACAAGCACCAGCGCCCGAAAAAAAGAATACCGCTGAGATGACACCCAGAACGCGCAAGAAAAAGAGTTGTCAGGACCCACTTCGTGCCGCATGCGTCATCAAGTGATTATTCTTCGCGTCTGTATTATATTTGGTGATCTTTAAACTTGTCCGCTCCTTTTAGTATAGCGCGCTAATTAATTATGTTCTTCTGCTGTGACAGCTGCTGTGATGTGTGCATGTGCACTGTGTGGTTGTAGTATGCATGCATGCATGAGTTTTCATCGAGGAAGAAAACGTTCTCGAGATCCAGATGTGGCTCCCCCACCTTCGCTACATGAAGG